CTATATTGTATCATTGGGTTGACCTCGTTCTCGCAACTTGGTCTTGTTGTCAGGGGGACTTATTTGAAGGCACTTTTTGGTACCAGGTCCACGGTCTGATGCCGATAATTATGATAACTATTATGGCAGAGGATTTTTGACAGTTTGAGTGCAACTAAGTAGCGCTGGCAACAAGACCAAGTGCTAAGCTTTAGTTTTTCATATGACAAACAGCATCAAAGCAGGATATCAACCTCCCAACCATATTTAAGATAACGAGTCAAGAAAATTCACTAATTTTCTCCTAAATGTTGAATATATACTCTATATCTAGACTCTTTAATGCGATATAAAGGCACTCATCATTGTCCATTAATTCATGATAATCCCGAAAACTCAGTGATCCGTGTGCAGTGGCACATGAGTTATAAAGTTGTACCTAATCAAAGAGCCTAGATATCACCTCTGTCTCTATCTCTGTCTCTCTGTTTCTCTGTCTCACTCTCTGTCTCTGTCTCTGTCTCTGTCTCTCTCTATATATAGCATTTAGGGATGAGACGGTTGATTTTCTTGATACGCTAGCTGGAATACGTTTGTAAGGATGATTCCCTGGTCTAACGAAGGGCGAAAGCTTAGCATGTTTTCACCAGAATCGAAGAAGATCGCCTCGGAAACAGCCTCATCAAGAATGTTACAGTAAAGCCGGTCGAAGACCGGACAAAAGCGATCCGTCGTTGTGTTCTGGTGGAATCGATCTTTGAATCTTTTAACCAAATATTTTCACTCGAAATAGAAGTAAGCTCACCGATTCAACAAATCTGCCGAAAATGGTTTCTTCTTCATGTTGAAACCTTCCAATAATGCCACTGGGCTTTCAAGTTGTCAGCCGATATACCAATGCTGAACCATGGAGATGGTAAAAGAACTACGTAGGGATTTGCGTCACGAATGTGTGCTTTCATAAGGCATTAACAAGGCTTCGGAATGACTCACGTATCTTTGAACCTAGAGTGGGATTCGAATCCAGTGTTGATTGTGGCTGACAAAATGTATTAACATATTCCGTGTAACATCGGAGAAAATTGAGTTTTATTGAAGGCAATTGATTACCTTCAAAGACGCTACTTCTTGAAGGTCTGTTCCGGCGTTAACCCCACGTCCACTCTAAGGCTCAATGGGGCTTGGGTATGCATTGTCCAACGGAAAAGAGCCAATGTCTGGACAATTGAGAAAATGAATTGTCTCGCCAATAACCCACTTCAGAGTCTTTAATTACATTCGGATTTATTACCTTAATGGAGACTATTTCAAAGATGAATCCACTGTAATTCTTGGATATCACACAGCTTTAAGTTCCACAAATGATAGTTTAACATGTAGAAGCGTCCTCCTCGTTCCGCAGGCCGTATTTTCTCTGGTCGAATGGACCATGTGACCCTCCCTCGAGCTTCACGGAGACCGATGAGGGCGAGATCACTTTTGTCGAGAGTAGTTTTCGAGATTATCATGAATTAGTGAGCAGGGACTTAATGACTAATATCGCTTGAGGTGGATTAAGGACGAATTGTGGGTTTTCTTTCTCAATTTTAGGGGTAGACCTTACAATGTCATTGGATGGCATTAAGCCTAGCCTACCAAAAGGTGTTTTTATCTCGGCTTGCCTACATTGCAGTTTTGACCTCGCCATCGCTCCTCATCATAACACGAAACGACAGGATACCAGGCATCAGTCCAACTGCGAATGCCAATGTTGCAGAGTGTGGATGTGTCAATCAAGACAAAGCGATTCCCTGCAAAACCGAATATTGATTCGGAGTGTCAAAGAATTGCCATTAAAATCGGAGAAGTGGATAGAGGAGAGTGTGAGAAGTTGTCGAAAGTGGGTACAGACGGGAAGTTGACTTCGAGACGAGGATGCTGTGATGGATAGAGAAAAGGACTTACACATATTGCCGACGGTGTCCATTAAAGCGGTGCAGGAGAAGAAGACGGCGTAAAGGGAGATACCGGCGCTGGCCAGCGAACAGAGCTGGCACATGAGGATGGGCAGTCGTTTTCGAAGGATCCAGTCGACATTGACGAGCCGTTTAATCCTATTCATGACAGAATCTACAAACGGCTGGCAGACGTGTGGCAGGAGGCGAGTGGAGCTGGCGAATGTGGCTGAGCCGGAAGATGTCGATCTCGAGGCTAAGCAGATGCGCTGCTCCTGCTGCTGGTGGTGTTGGTGGTGCTGGCGATGCTGGATGTGTTGGTGGTGCTGGTGGCTTGTGCGCTG